TTGAGCCAATTCTATCGTTGGTTGAGTTCAGAATATTCTTTGATTGTAATGAACTATAAATCCCAGCAACTACAACTCCCAAAAGTCAAGGTCTATTTTCCCCAGGCTCCACCAGTGTTCACATTTGTGCATATTGAGTATTTGTGCCAAGTTTGGTCCAGATCCACCATTGCGTGAGTCCACAGTGTTCTCTGGATATAGGTGAACTACAACTCCCAAACCCACCAAACCCTTCCAGTGTTTTCCGTTGGTCATGGGAGTTCTGTGTGGCAAATAAGGTTCAAATCCATCGCTGGTGGAGTTCAGAATGCTCTTTGATTATAGGTGAACTATAAATCCCAGCAACTACAACTCCCAAATTACAAAATCAATCCTCCCCCAACCCCACTAGCATTTACATGTGGGTGCATTGGGTATTTGTGCCCAGTTCGGTCCAGTGAATGAAAATACATCTTGCATATCTGATATTTACATTATGATTTATAACAGTAGTAAAATGACTGTTATGAAGTAGCAACAAAACAATGTTATGGTTGGGGGTCACCACAACATAAGGAACTGTATCAAGGGGTCCCGGCATTAGGAAGGTTGAGAACCACTGGTGTAGACAGGCACCAAAAGCCCAATCTCATTTTCATATGATTTGTCATGCACATCTATTTTCCTCTTTGGAGATAGAAATCTTAATTAAAGGGGTTATTAAGACAGTAACTAAGGGGACACCAATTGCATGATGGATTCCAGGGTTAGACCTGAGTAGTGATAAGGATGATATTCGAAGAAGGAACTAAGATATAGTCTGGATTTATTTCTTTCCTTCCAGGAAAACAGTCCGTCCTTCATTTAATCCCTGGCCATCATTCTAGTAATGGTGAGTAAACCTGTGGCCCCGATCCATCATGGAGTAAACACTTCTATTTCTAGAAAAGTCAACGTGCATATGTTTGTTTGTACCACAAAGGATCTAATGTGGCTTAATGGATCTGGACCAAACCTGGCAAACATATTCTTCATTACACAACTTCAAATCATTGTTGGCTTTCAAGTACAAAATCAATCCCAGAAACTGTAAGAAACGGCAGTATATCGATAGAAAGGATTAGCTACCTAGCTATAAGTATGAGTGTATGCAGTGCTCAAACTTAAGCACAAGAGGGCAGGATGGAGATAGAAATGGTTGGCTGCTGGACTATAAGTATGACTGTATTGCTCAGATGTAACCACAATAGGACAGCCTATAGAAAGGATTAGCTGCTGGCCTATAAGTATGTCTGTATGCAGCACTCAGATGCAACTACAAGAGGGCAGGCTATAGATATAAAGGATTAGTTCCTGCGTATAGGTATTTACCTATGCATTGCTCAGATGCAACCACAAGGGGCCAGAAAGGATTAGCTGCTGGCCAGAAAGGATTAGCTGCTGGCCTATTGACATGTATGTATGCAGCACTTAGATACAACCACAAAAGGACAGTATATAGATAGAAAGGATTACCTCCTGGCCTATAGGTATATATGTATGGATGCAGTGCTCAAAGGCAACCACAAGAAGGCCATATATAGAGATAGAAAGGATTAGCTGCTGGCCTATTGGCCTGTATTTATGTAGTACTTAGATACAATCACAAAAGGACACTATATGGATAGAAAGGATTACCGCCTGGACTATAGGTATATGTGTATGCAYGCAGTGCTCAAAGGCAACCACAAGAAGGTCATATATAGAGATAGAAAGGATTAGCTGCTGGCCTATTGGCCTGTATTTATGTAGTACTTAGATACAATCACAAAAGGACAATATATAGATAGAAAGGATTACCTCYTGGCCTATAGGTATATATGTATGTATGCAGTGTTCAAAGGCAACCACAAAAAGGCCATATATAGAGATAGAAAGGATTAGCTGCTGGCCTATTGACATGTATGTATGCAGCACTTAGATACAACCACAAAAGGACAGTATATAGATAAAAGGATTACCTCCAGGTCTATAGATATATATGTATGTATGCAGTATTCAAGAGGGCAATATAGAGATAGAAAGGATTAGCTGCTAGCCTATTGACATGTATGTATGCAGCATTTAGATACAACCACAAGAGGGCAGAAAATAGATAGAAAATATTATCTCTTTGTCTATAAGTATGTATATATGTATGCATGCAGTGCTCAGAGGCAACCACAAGAGGGCAATATATAGATAGAAAGGATTAGCTTCTGGCCTATAATTACATATGTATGCAGCACTCAGATACAACCACAAGAGGGCAGTATATAGTTACAAAGGATTAGCTCCTGGATATAGGTATATATACTTATGCAATGCTCAAATGCAATCACAAGAAGGCAGTTTACAGATAGTATGTATGCATAAAGCACTTAGATACAAACACAAAGGGGAAGTATACAGATAGAAAGGATTAGCTGCTCCCATCATCCCAGGATCATGGTTAAACGAAGATTAAAAATTATGATGGCCAATTAATTCTGGCTGATCCATAGGAGGGTTCTAATAATATAACTAATGTCTTTCTGCCTCCTGTTTGACCCCATAGATGAGGAGAATGAGACCGAAATCTGGTGGGAGCCCTTCCTGCAGAAAGGCCGGGCCCTGGAGCTGAGCGGCCGGGATGTTGTGGTCAAACAAAAAGGACTTTACTTTGTTTACAGCCAGGTAAGACGGGGAGAAAGAACTAAGCGTCCCAGGAGGGAAAATCATAGACTTAGGCTGCATTTACATGGTAGAATTAATGCAGTTTGATTCCACTTGAAGTGCCCGGGTTCAGAGGAGGCTAAAGACCTTGCAAAACTACAACTCACAGGATTCTGTAACATTGAGCCATAGCAATTCAGGGAGTGTTGAACGGCATTTACTCTGCAGTGTAGATGCATCTTTAGTCCATCAATAGACCAGAAGTGTTTTGGGTTTGGGGTTTTTTTTAAATTTTGTAACATCTGGATTTGCACAGACATAATGAGATATCTTGGGAATTTAGACCCATTGTAACCATAACATTCATTTCTGTGTCATATACACTTTATTATACACTTAGTGCCAAGGTAATTAAATGCATATTTTAAAAATTGTGCATGAAACAAAGGCTGTGTACATTGAACCACCAGAAAACAAAAGTGTCATCCTCTCAGCCACTCTTGTGAATAATTTCAGATTTTGGAGGATTTCCGCATAAGGGATGCTAAGAAATACACTTGGGAAAGATCACATTTAGAGGCATTTCCTACAAAACACAATCAGATCATTTCGGACTCACGTTAACAGCCATGTCTCCTAGGATTTGTAGTTTGGTAAGTCTAAATGCTTCATGGAAGGCCATCTGTCAGGAGTGGATTGAGTGATTTTTCGTGTAGAATAGGGTAGGCCTGGATGGCCCTTGGAGTCTCCTCCAACTATATGAATCTATGGAACTAGAAATCCCAGGAGTCCAAAGGATGGACCTATATGTTGCACCTCAGGCCTGCAAACACCTATGACAACAGCACCACACAAGAGTCTAGACCAGGGGTGTTCCGTTTCCAAGGAGCTTGGTTTGCATTGCTCTTTAGTTGCATGAAATAGCATCCTTTTGCAGTCCCCCCCAGGGTTACTACAGTCTCAGCAGCACCCTGAAAGTTAACCATTAACAGGGGCTTAACAGGGGTTTGGTGGGTTTGGGAGTTGTAGTTCACCTATATCCAAAGAACACTGTCGACTCACGCAATGGTGGATCTGGACCAAAATTGGCACAAATACTCAATATGCGCAAATGTGAACTCTGGTGGAGCCTGGGGAAAATAGACCTTGACTTTTGGGAGTTGTAGTTGCTGGAATTTATAGTTCATTACAATCAAAGAACATTCTGAACTCCACCAACGATAGAATTGGCTCAAACTTCCCACATGGAATCTCCATGACCATCAGAAAATACTTTGTTTTCTGATGGTCTTTGGCGACCCCTCTGACACCCCTTTGCGACCCCCTCAGGGGTCCCGACCCCCAGGTTGAGAAACACTGACTTAGATAAACAGCCTGCTAATTAATAGGCACCCATGAAGTCATTTTGTTTCCCATGAATGCTCTCCCCAATTTTCCCACGCAATTGCTCTGACCTACAATGTTTATTTTCTACTCTGATCTGTAAATGAAGACCTTTGTTGATCTCCATAGCTCTGTAGGTGTTTTTTCTGAGAGCCTTCTGTCTCACTGAATTCTTCATCCAACTCCTTATCTAATGTTGCAGTTTCTGGCTTCTCTGACTGATCTTGAAGGCCTGAATTTTCTGAGTCAGATTTTTCATCATTCCTGTGACTTGAATTTTCCTCACTTTAAGCCCCAGGAAATCCCACAGGCAATCCCACAATCCTCTCTAAATAATCAGTGAACACATCAGCTTCAGGAGCTTCAGGCTGTACTACAAAACTATAGCAATTAAAGTGGGATAGAAGAGCTCTAATTATGTGAGTCTGAAAGAAATCCCATAGCCTGCGTGGACCAACACCTACTTCACTCCTTCTCCCTTTCTTCTTTCCTAGGTACTGTTCCACGACCCCACTTTTACGATGGGGCAGGTGTTGTGGAGGATGGCTGTGGGGAGGCCAGATCAAATCTTGTTCCGCTGTGTCCAGAGCATGCCTGCGCACCCAGGAAAAGCGTACAACAGTTGCTATAGCGGAGGTGAGAAGAACTAATTGTTTTGAATCAACTAAGGTTGCATACATACTATGGAATTAAAGCAGTTCAATTCTACTTTAACTTCCATGGTTCAATGCTGTGGAGCCCTGGGAGCTGCAGTTTGGCAGAGAAGGCGAAAGACATTGCAGAACTGCAGCTCCCATGATCCCATCACATTGAGCCATGGTTGTTGTTGTTGTTCATTCGTTCAGTCGTCTCCGACTCTTCGTGACCTCATGGACCAGCCCACGCCAGAGCTCCCTGTCGGCCGTTACCACCCCCAGCTCCCTCAAGGTCAGTCCAGTCACTTCAAGGATGCCATCCATCCATCTTGCCCTTGGTCGGCCCCTCTTCCTTTTGCCTTCCACTTTCACCAGCATCATTGTCTTCTCTAGGCTTTGCTGTCTCCTCATGATGTGGCCAAAGTACTTCAACTTTGTCTCTAGTATCTTTCCCTCCAGTGAGCAGTCGGGCTTTATTTCCTGGAGGGTGGACTGGTTGGATCTTCTCGCAGTCCAAGGCACTCTCAGAACTTTCCTCCAACACCACAGCTCAAAAGCATCGATCTTCCTTCGCTCAGCCTTCCCTAAGGTCCAGCTCTCACATCCGTAGGTGAAAGTGAAAAACTATTGGTTGGTTAGAAAAGCCTGCCATCTAGTGTTTGAAGTTGGAACTGCAGGTGACTCTAAAAATAATGATCATAGGGTTGTTGTAGGTTTTTTCGGGCTGTATGGCCATGTTCTAGAGGCATTCTCTCCTGACGTTTCGCCTGCATCTATGGCAAGCATCCTCAGAGGTAGTGAGGTCTGTTGGAACTAGGAAAAAGGGTTTATATATCTGTGGAATGACCAGGGTGAGACAAAGGACTCTTGTCTGCTGGAGCTAGGTGTGAATGTTTCAACTGACCACCTTGATTAGCATTTGATGGCCTGGCAGTGCCTGGGGCAATCTTTTGTTGAGAGGTGATTAGATGTCCCTGCCTGCTTCCTCTCTGTTGTTGTGCTGTTGCAATTTTAGAGTTTTTTAATACTGGTAGCCAGATTTTGTTCATTTTCATGGTTTCCTCCTTTCTGTTGAAATTGTCCACATGCTTGTGGATTTCAATGGCTTCTCTGTGTAGTCTGACATGGTGGTTGTTGGAGTGGTCCAGCATTTCTGTGTTCTCAAATAATATGCTGTGTCCAGGCTGGTTCATCAGATGCTCTGCTATGGCTGATTTCTCTGGTTGAAGTAGTCTGCAGTGCCTTTCATGTTCCTTGATTCGTGTTTGGGCAATGCTGCGTTTGGTGGGCCATTTGAATTCGCGAGACGGGGTGAGCTCCCACTGTTAGCCCCAGCTCCTGCCAACCTAGCTGTTCGAACACATGCAAATGTGAGTAGATCAATAGGTACCGAAGGTAAACAGCGCTCCATGCAGTCATGCCGGCCACATGACCTTGGAGGTGTCTATGGACAACGCAGGCTCTTCAGCTTTGAAATTGAGATGAGCACCAATCTCCAGAGCCGGAGATGAAAGGGAAGCCTTTACCTTTCTCTGTGTATCTGTGTTTCATTATTTTGAGCCATTGAATGTTTGCATTGTGTCTATATCTGTATATACTGGAATCCGCCCTGAGTCCCCTCGGAGAGTAGGGCAGAATACAAATCAAGTGTTGTTATTGTTGTTGTTGTTGTTATGTGGCTGCAGCCTAAGACTCATTCCTCCTGATTGACCTCACTTTGGGTTTGTCTTCTAGGAATCTTCCACTTGCAACACGGAGACCGCTTGAACCTACGTATCCCGCGATTCAACGCTTCTTTCGATGTCAGCGCCCATGGGACATTTTTGGGGCTGCTGCGCTTATAGGGTCCGCCACTTTGGTGTGATCCATAATGGAAGGAAATTGGGACAATCACGCCTAGGCAAAGCTGGAAGATCCTGGAAGCGTCTTGATGAAAGAACGGCAGTGTAGTTTTTCTAAGTACTTTCCCATGGAACCGACAAAATCTCAAAATATGGAAGATGAGATTTGGAACATAAATAGCGAGGATCTTGGACACAAAGATCCCTTTCCAGGGATCTCTTTTCCTTAATTTTCCAATATTTCAGCATGATTGCTTCTGCTGCTTCAATTGAGAGAGGACATACTGTATGACACTCATTTTGAATTTTTGTATTCAGCAAGGACAAAGAAATAATACCATGGGTGCATCTACACTGTTTAATTAATGCAGTTTGATACCGCTTGTGCTGTCGCACGCTGGGCCTGTGCATAAGACTGTAGACAGGACATAAATTCCGTGTGCCCAACGGGACGCCGGGGCTGCCTCAGATTAAAGGCCCTTGGATTTCCTTAAACAGAGTCTTTAGATTGCTTAAAGGCTCAACAAAGTTCTTTATTAATGAAAACAAACAGGTACTTTAAGGCTTTCTTAACAGTCTATTGGCTCTCTCTCAATCTTGTCCACAGGGAACAGGCACTATCTTCATAACTGTAATTTAACTGATGGGGAAATCCTTAACTTCTAATCTGGGCAGTCTGTCTTTGCCTCTGTTGGCGTGGAGCCCCTGCACCCGGTACCAACTGCTTCTGGCTTCCGCGAGTGACCCTTACCAAGCAGAGCTTTGTAGACTTCCAGAGGAAAAAGGAGTTCAGGTTTCGGTGATGGCTGGCTGAAGTCCCTCAGCAAAGGAGCTGTAAGGCTGTATAATCCTTGGCCAAGCTACGGGACCTTTCTCCCCAGCCAAGCTGTAGAAGACGAAGCTTTCTACAGGAGCTCTTGGTTTTATGTCCTGCATGAAAGGCTTCTCTGTATGGACTGAACCCAAAATGGCACCTATTCCCTCCAAAAACCCAAAAAGGGGGCGGGACCAGGGAACCTAACTATAATTGACAGGTGGCTTGCCCTATGATTGCAGCCAAAAGAAGTTACCTATCTGCAGAGTCCCTGAAACTTAGGACTTACAACAAACATTCAGTGCAAAGCAAACAAAATAGAAGCTCCTGGTACAGTTGTACCTGCACACCGCTTCAACTGCCCTTGCTCAAGGCTTTGAGATCCTGGGAATTGTAGTTTGTACTCTTTGGCAGTGAAAGGCTACAGACTGCCCTAAGGCACAACTCCCAGGATCCCATACCCTTAAGTTAAACTGGGGTCAAACTGCATTAAATCCACAGTGTAGATGCACCCCAAGTAGAATCACCAGTCTTGCTACCTCATCACACTGGAGACTGAATCCACTTTAAATGCAGTTGCTACCTCCTGCAGAATTCTGGGGTTTGTAGTTTAACAGTCTCACTAAACTACAAATCCCAGCATTCTGCAGGATTTAAAGTGGATTCATTCTCTAGCGTGATGAATTCTGTATTTCCCCCCTTAGGAAATGGACATTGTTTCCAACTGTGGTAAATATGGTTTGAGGAGGTTTGCAAGAATGTCGTCCTGAAATGATGTTGTCCTTGGTTTGTGGCTGGAACTATTTTAAATGTTATTGTAATGCAATGGTTTGCGGCAAGCAAAGGATTTGGTTAAAAGAGGCTAAAATAAAATGTGAGCTATGCTGAGAGCTGTCTTTGAATTGACAGTCAATAGGTACATTCAGACAGAGCCAAAAATGACACTTTGAAGGATGCGTCTACATGGTCATGGCGGTTCTGTGTGGGAAGTTTGGCCCAATTCTATCATTGGTGGGGTTCAGAAGGCTCTTCGATTGCAGGTGAACTATAAATCCCAGCAACTACAACTCTCAAATGACAAAATCAACCCACCCCAACCCCACCAGTATTCAAATTTGGGAATGTGCTGGTACAGCCGTACCAGGAGCTCCAAATTTATTTGCTTTGTATTAAATGTTTGCTTGTAGTCCTGGGTTTCAGGGACTCTGCAGATAGGTGGCTTCCTTCGGTTGCAGTCATAGGGCAAGTCACCTGTCCATCATTGTTAAGTTTTGGTCCCGCCCCTTGCTCAGGGCAATTGGGAAAGGAAGGGAGCCATTTTTCAGTTAGTCTCAGCAAGGAAAGCTAATGTACAGGACGTGTGCAAACTTCCCCTGTACAAACTACAAGAAAGGAGATTCCATCTGAACATGAGGAAGAACTTCCTGACTGTGAGAGCCGTTCAGCAGTGGAACTCTCTGCCCTGGAGTGTGGTGGAGGCTCCTTTTTTGGAAGCTTTTAAACAGAGGCTGGATGGCCATCTGTCAGGGGTGATTTGAATGCAATATTCCTGCTTCTTGGCAGGGGGTTGGACTGGATGGCCCATGAGGTCTCTTCCAACTCTTTGATTCTATCTGCCTCTCCTCTACAGTTTCCCCTGTACAAAAGCTTCAACCCTTAAGACTTTCCAGGGGAAAACAGTCTTAAGAGCATCCAAAGATTCCCAGGGAAACAGCCCTAAAGCTCTGAGGAATTTCGGAGGGAAAAACAGCTTTGAATATCAAAGAACTCCAGCTGAAGAGACTACAGGCCTTGCTGGTAGGTCCACTCGGTGCTTTGAGATGCAGTTCAACCCGGTAGTGGAGCCCACATCAGTTAGGTTTAGGTTCACAGTCAGCCTGGGAGAAGTTTTGTTGTTCATTCGTTCAGTCATCTCCGACTCTTGGTGACCTCATGGACCAGCCCATGCCAGAGCTCCCTGTCGGCCGTCACCACCCCCAGCTCCTTCAAGGTCAGTCCAGTCACTTCAAGGATGCCATCCATCCATCTTGCCCTTGGTCGGCCCCTCTTCCTTTTCCCTTCCACTTTCCCCAGCATCATTGTCTTCTCTAGGCTTTGCTGTCTCCTCATGATGTGGCCAAAGTACTTCAACTTTGTCTCTAGTATCCTTCCCTCCAATGAGCAGTCGGGCTTTATTTCCTGGAGGATGGACTGGTTGGATCTTCTCGCAGTCCAAGGCACTCTCAGAACTTTCCTCCAGCACCACAGCTCAAAAGCATCTCTCTTCCTTCGCTCAGCCTTCCCTAAGGTCCAGCTCTCACATCCGTAGCTTACTACAGGGAATACCATGGCTTTGACTAGGCAATGGGTCTTTGTTGCCAGTCTGATGTCTCTACTCTTTACTATTTTATCGAGACTGGACATTGCTCTCCTCCCAAGAAGGAATGTCTTCTGATTTCCTGGCCACAGTCTGCATCTGCAGTCATCTTTGCACCTAGATATACAAAGTCTGTCACGGCCTCCACGATTTCTCCCTCTATTTCCCAGTTGTCAATCATTCTTGTTGCCATAATCTTGGTTTTTTTGACGTTTAGCTGCAACCCGGCTTTTGCGCTTTCTTCTTTCACCTTGATTAGAAGGCTCCTCAGCTCCTCCCGCTTTCGGCCATCAGAGTGGTGTCATCTGCATATCTGAGGTTGTTAATGTTTCTTCCAGCAATTTTCACCCCAGCTTTGCATTCATCCAGCCCCGCACATCGCATGATGTGTTCTGCATACAAGTTAAAAGGTTGGGTGAGAGGATGCAGCCTTGCCGTACGCCTTTCCCAATCTTGAACCAGTCTGTTGTTCCGTGGTCAGTTCTGACTGTTGCTCCTTCGTCCTTGTACAGATTCCTCAGGAGAGAGGGAAGGGGGCTTGGGATGCCCATCCCACCAAGAACTTGCCACATTTATTATGATCCACACAGTCAAAGGCTTTAGAATAGTCAATGAAGCAGAAGTAGATGTTTTTCTGAAACTCCCTGCCTTTCTCCATTCTCCAGCATCAGGATATTGGCAATCTGGTCTCTCGTTCTTCTGCCTTTTCTAAATCTAGGTGTTTTGGATGCCACCTCCCACAATTCCTAACAGCCTCAGGCCCCTTCCTTTTCCCCCTCAGCCGCTTAAGCGGCTGAGGGGGAAAAGGAAAGGGCCTGAGGCCAGGAATGGTGGGAGTTGAAGTCCAAAACACCCGAAGGACCGAAGTTTGCTCATGCCTGGTCTACAATGTAAGTTTAACACACTTTGACATCAGTTGAACTGCTTTGGAATCCTGAGATTTGTTATTTGGTGGAGCATTGGCCAAAGAAGGCTTAAAGGCCTTGCAAAACTATAACTCCCATAATTGCATTGCATTGAGCCACGGCAGTTCAAGTTTTGTCAAACTGCATTAAAATGGACAGCGTGCAACGAACCACATTTGGCAATGCAAAACATTCCTCTCCGAAGGGAAATTTCTTTTTTGTCCTTGCTCTCAAGGCTATTCGGAGAAAAGGACGGCCTTCGGAGAACCGCAATCGGCGAGGAAAACAAAGGAATTATTCTCCAAGCCTAATCAGCGCATTCAATTCCTTTTTCCTACGACGCAATTAGCAGAGAATGCTTCAAACGCATGGATGGCAATGGGCTCTGACAGTCCAAGCCACACTTCTGGGAAGAGTTCTGGCTGACAGTCAATCAGTCCAGGGTCTTTTTACTCTGAATTAAATCCCTTTCTATCCAATGAGTTTCTTTTTCTACTCATTAGTACAATATGTTGTTAAACACGGCACCCCCACCCCTGGGATTTATAGTACATCAAGTACAAACTACTTACTTTTACTTAAGTAAAAGGCGATCCCTCGGTGCCCGAGTAGGATGGTCTTCCAGGGTCAGTGTGTAGTGTGTGGTGGGTCCATAGGTGACTGCGGAGCCCTGTTCTTGATCTGTCCAGAGGAGGGCGACTAAAATGATCAAGGGTCTGGAGAACAAGCCCTATGAGGAGCGGCTTAAGGAGCTGGGCATGTTTAGCCTGAAGAAGAGAAGGCTGAGAGGAGATATGATAGCCATGTATAAATATGTGAGAGGAAGCCACAGGGAGGAGGGAGCAAGCTTGTTTTCTGCTTCCCTGGAGACTAGGACGCAATGGGACAATGGCTTCAAACTACAAGAGAGGAGATTCCATCTGAACATGAGGAAGAACTTCCTGACTGTGAGAGCCGTTCAGCAGTGGAACTCTCTGCCCCGGAGTGTGGTGGAGGCTCCTTCTTTGGAAGCTTTTAAACAGAGGCTGGATGGCCATCTGTCAGGGGTGATTTGAATGCAATATTCCTGCTTCTTGGCAGGGGGTTGGACTGGATGGCCCATGGCCCCATGAGGTCTTTTCCAACTCTTTGATTCTATGATTCTATCTGCATCTTCTCCCACAGTGAGGGCATTGGTTTCCAGGTGGAAGGCAGTCCTGGTCAGGGTTGGCTTGACGCGCCTTCCTCTTGGCATGTTTCTCTCTTTCGCCCTCCATTCATGCCTCTTCAAATTCTGCAGCACTGCTGGTCACAGCTGACCTCCACCTGGAGCGCTCAAGTGCCAGGGCTTCCCAGTTCTCAGTGTCTATGCCAGAGTTTTTAAGGTTGGCTTTAAGGCACCATACGTCTCAGCTTGGGGATGGGAAATCCTAAAAACCAATCCAAGCCAATCCATTGCAAATCTGGGTGCGTCTACACTGTGGAATTAATGCAGTTTGATGCCACTTGGAACTGCTTTACCCATCCACTGATGATTGTTTTTAAATTGCAGCATTTTAATTCCTTTTCTCTGTTCAGCTGTTAAAATGCTGATCTATATTTTAAATTAGGGATCCTGGGAAGTGCATTTTGGTGATGCATCAGCACTCTTTGGAAAAGAAGGCTTGGAAAACTATAATTCCCTGGATTCCATAGCCCTGAGTTATGGCACTGAAACAAGGAATCCTCCCAATGCAGAGGCCAATTCATTTTGCCCTTTTAGAGAGTAAGAGAGGAAGGTCTCGCGAGATGAGCGCTTCCCCCCCCCAACTCTCGGGAGAGCTGGGCGAACCCCGGGCAAAGTGGGCGGAGCTAAGGCTGTCATGGCGGCCTCTATACACCCCACGTGGGTTTTTGTTTACAGAATACTAAGCAGGGAAAAGGTGGAGGTTTTGGGTCCAGGGTCTTTTTCAACTTCTATTACTTACTGTAGCAGATCAAGGGAATTGTGTATGACCCATTTTTTACCATTATAATTGAGACTGTAATAATATATATATATATATATAAATATATAATATTTATATAATCTTATATAAATAAAAATGTAATGTTCGTTTGTTGGATTAACATAACTCAAAAATCACTGGACAAATTGACACCAAATTTGGCCTAAGAACCCAATGTATGTCCTTCACTCACAAAAATTGATTTTGTCATTTGGGAGTTGTAGTTGCTGGGATTTATAGTTCACCTACAATCAAAGAGCATTCTGAACCCCACCAATGATGGAATTGAACCAGACATGGCACACAGGACTCCCATGACCAACAGAAAATACTGGAAGGGTTTGGTGGCATTGACCTTGAGTTTGGGAGTTGTAGTTCACCTACATCCAGAGAGCACTGTGGACTCAAACAATGATGGATCTGGACCAAACTTGGCACAAATATTCCATATGCCCAAATATGAACACAGATGGAGTTTGGGGGAAATAGACCTTGTCATTTGGGAGTTGTAGTTGCTGGGATTTATAGTTCACCTACAATCAAAGAGCATTCTGAACTCCACCAATGATGGAATTGAACCAAACTTGGCACACAGAACTCCCATGACCAACAGAAAATACTGGAAGGGTTTGGTGGGCATTGACCTTGAGTTTGGGAGTTGTAGTTCACCTACATCCAGAGAGCATTGTGGACACAAACAATGATGGATCTGGACCAAACCTGGCACGAATATTCCATATGCCCTAATATGAACACAGATGGAGTTTGGGGGAAATAGATCCAGTCATGCAAGTGTTGGTTTTTAATATATGGCATTTCTTTATGCTTGTGGGTAAACTATTTCTTGCTGTTTCTTTGTCAGTGTTGACGTGGAGATTGTCTGATTTGCCTACTCTGGAACATGCAACATATAATTGTCCTTCTTTAGGAATCCCTTTCAAATCTATGATTAATTAAGATCCTGAGCAGGACCAGGACCAGGATGGAACACTCCTGATGGCACTCCACTTGTCACGTCTTTCCAGGATGAAGAGGATGCATTGATGAGCACCCTCTGGGTTTGTTCACTTAATGAATTGCAGATTCACCTAACTGTATTTTGCCTAGCCCACACTGGAGTAGTTTACTTGCCAGGAGGTCATGGGTAACCATATTGAAGGAAGGCCTTCCTGAAATCCAGATATGCTCTATCCATGGCTTTCCTTGCATCTACCCAGCTTGGAATTCTATTGAAAAAAAGAGATTAGTTGAGTCTGGCATGACTTGTGTTTGATCTATCCTTGTTGACTATTAGCAATGACCACATTGCTTTCTAAGTGTTTGCAGACTACTTCCTTAATGATCTTTTCCAGAATCTTGCCTGGATGCACACATAATGAGATATATATGCACTTATAGTGAGATATTTATTGGAGAGGGGCTCCAATCTTAGGCCCAAAATTCATACCTATTTCATATATAGTTTATACACACAGGATGAAGGCAATATTTTCCCAATAATTTTAATAATTTTGTGCATGAGACAATATTTATGTCGACGGAACCATCAGAAAGCAATAATGTCTGCCTATCAGCCACCAGGTGGAAAATATTCCAAATTTTGGAATATTTTCAATTTCCGGAAAAAAACCTAGCCGGACCGCAGTTGTCTGGCTTGCTCTGCCAGCTTCTGAATATTCTGTCCGGTGATGTTGTGCACCAGCCAATGATCTTTTATTGTGACGTTCACAGCACCCAGTTTGGTGTAGAAATCCATCGCCGGCTGGTTCCATTGAGCCGAGATGAAACGGAATTGGGAGCATCCTTTCTCCAGCGCAACCTGTGAGATGGAGAAAAAGACTCAGAAATTTATGTTAAATGTCGCCCCAGGTCTTGATTCAGTTCTGGTCTGCTTGCCCACTCAGGGTGCATCTACACTGTAGAACTGATGCAGATTGACACTGCGTTAACAGCCGTAGTTCAATGCAGTCGAATTCTAAGATATGTAACTTTGTGCATTAAACAAAAGTTGAGTACACTGAAGTATCAGAAAGCAAAGATGTCACTCTCGCAGCCAGCCATGGGAATACAGTAATATCCAAATGGTGCTGGATCCTCACCTGCAGTTCCACCTTCAGTCAGTAGGTGGCAGACTTTTCTAACCAAGGAACAGGCTTTCGCCAAGGCTCAATATCATGGAATCCTGGGTTTTGTAGTTTTCCAAGGTTCTTAGCCTTCTCTGATAAAGAACACTGGTGCCTCGCCAAACTAAAAATCCCTGGATTCCACAGCATGGAGCCCTGGCAGTTCAAGTGGCCTTCCCATAGATTTTAATAGTGTGTTGTCTCAATTTTAATGCTTACGTTGTTGTTTTATTGTCTATGTTTGATTTTAATTGCTTGTATTGTTGTTATTATTGCTTGTATTGTTGTATTTGGGCTTGGCCTCATGCAAGCCGCACCGAGTCCCATGGGGAGATGGTAGCGGGGTATAAATAAAGTTTTATTATATTATTATATTATTAAGTGGGGTCAACCTGCATTAATTCTACAATGTAGCTGCACCTTTGGTTATGGGTTGGGGGAATAGTTGAGAAAAAGCCCCCCTCCAAGAGCACCATCATATCCCCCCCCCCCTTTTTTAGATGCAATTTTCCAGCATCCCTCAACCGGTCCAAAAATGTTATTTTCCCCATCTTAAGCTCTCTCTTTTTGACTCACCTGACACACTTTATTCACTAAGGTTGTGCCAATGCCTTTGCCTGTCCAGGAAAAAAGATAAAGATGACAAATTAAACAGTTATCAAATAGTTACTGGAGTTGAAGCAATGGCTTTGCGATTGTTGTTGTTGTTATCCTATCCCTCTCTCGTTCTGTAAAAAGAGATCCAAAGCAGGCTATATAATAATAACGTAATAATAACGTGAAAAAGATCTTGGAGTCCTCGTGGACAACAAGTTAAACATGAGCCAACAATGTCATGCGGTGGCAAAAAAAGCCAATGGGATTTTGGCCTGCATCAATAAGAGCATAGTGTCTAGATCTAGGGAAGTCATGCTACACCTTTAATTTCGGACCACACCTGAAATCACACTGTATCCAATTCTGGGCACTGCAATTGAAGGGAGATGTTGACTCTAAGCTGGAAGGTGTCCAGAGGAGGGTGACCAAAACGATCAAGGATCTGGAGAACAAGCCCTATGAGGAGCGGCTTGAAGAGCTGGGCATGTTTAGCCTTCAGAAGAGAAGGCTGAGAAGAGACATGATGAGGACCATGTATAAATATGTGAGGGAAGTCATAGGGAGGATGGAGCAATCTTGTTTTTTTGCTGCCCTGGGGACTAGAAGGCAGAACAATGGCTTCAAACTACAGGAAAAGAGATTCCACTTGAACATTAGGAAGAACTTCCTGACTGTGAGAGCTGTTCAGCAGTGAAACTCTCTGCCTTGGAACAGTGGCTTCAAAGTACAAGAAAGGAGATTCCACCTGAACATTAGGAAGAACTTCCTGACTGTGAGAGTTGTTCAGCAGTGGAACTCTCTGCAATGGAACAATGGCTTCGAACTACACGAAAGGAGATTCCATCTGAACATTAGGAAGAACTTCCTGACTGTGAGAGCTGTTCAGCAGTGGAACTCTCTGCAGTGGAACAATGGCTTCAAAATACAAGAAAGGAGATTCCACCTGAACATTAAGAAGAACTTCCTGACTGTGAGAGCTGTTCAGCATTGGAACTCTCTGTCTCAGAGTGTGATGGAGTCTACTTCTTTGGAAGCTTTTAAACAGAGGCTGGATGGCCATCTGTCAGGGGTGATTTGAATGCAATATTCCTGCTTCTTGGCAGAATGGGGTAGGACTGGATGGCCCACGAGGTCTCTTCCAACTCTAGAATTCTATGATTCTATGAATGCAAAAACAAGCTTGTTTTTTTTTTTTTAATATTGAAAACACTATGGATTACTTTCCAATTCTGTGTATTTTCCAAGCCAGGTGTGACATTTATTGGGTTTTGTGGCTGGCGTGGTTATCCCTGAAAGGTGGAAATCCTGTGACCCTTTCAGTAGTACTGGACTGCAATTCCAGTAATGTACCTACAAGAAGCACTGCCTGAACATCAAGCAAAAAGTGGGTGCTAGAAACAATATCATACGAAAGCTGAATGGCACAGCCTGGGGATCACAATCAGATACAGTGACGACATCTGCCCTTGCGCTATGCTACTCTGCTGCTGAGTATGCATGCCCAGTGTGGAACACATCTCACCACGCTAAAACAGTGGATGTGGCTCTTAATGAGACATGCTGCATTATCACGGGGAGAAATCGCACTGTTTAGCCGGTATTGAACCACCTGACATCCGCCGGGAAGTAGCAGCCAGTAGCGAAAGGACCAAGGCAGAGACATCTCCAGCTCATCCCTTGTTTGGGTATCAGCCAGCATGTGAATGACTTAAATCAAGAACTAGTTTTCTAAGATCTACAGAGACATTCGCTGGAACACCTCAGCAAGCGAGAGTCCAAAAGTGGCAGGCTCAAACCCAGAACCTCAATCAATGGCTGATACCAAATGAGAGACTCCTCCCTGGGCACACAGAAGACTGGGCAACTTGGAAGGCGCTGAACAGACGGCGCTCTGGCACCACAAGATGCAGAGCCAACCTCAAGAAATGGGGCCACAAAGTGGAATTCACGACGTGCGAGTGCGGAGAAGAGCAAACTACAGACCACCTGCTGCAATGCAACCTGAGCCCTGCCACATGCACAAGGGAGGACCTTCTTGCGGCAACACCAGAGGCACTCCAAGTGGCCAGATATTGGTCAAAGGACATTTAATCAGCTACCAAGCTTGCAAACTCTGTGAGTTTTTGTTGCTGGTTTTCAGCCCTTTTCTGACTTGTATGTCCTATGCCGTATTCAGAGCACTACACCACGCTGGAGGCCGGCATTATTCAGGCCATCGATTCAACTTCTGGCAGCGCAGAGTGCAGATTTATTTATTCAGAGTAAACCTGACACCATCTTGTTAGAGGTTGTAAAACACCATTAACATAATTGGTTCAGAAGACATTCAAGCGTGCATCTTGGAAAATGTTCATCAGTTTAGACAGGAGTGGATTGGATTTATTGCCATTTGGGAGTCAGGGACTTGAATGAGAAGAGATTGGAAGGTGAAATAACGCAGACCACTCGAACAAGTTGTATTTTGGGTTGTTGTGATGTACCTTCCATCCCCCCCCCCCCCTAATTTCCGACAACCTTATCATTGGGTCTCCTTAGCGCTATTTATTTATTTATTGTATTTCCTGCGATTTATTCAGAAGACGTTTGGCATTTCCTTCCTCAGAGGCTGAGAGAGTGTGACTTACTCAAGTTCACCCAGTGAGTTTCCATGACTGAGCAAGGATTTGAATCTTGGTCTCCAGAGTTGCAACCCAACATTCAAGTCATAATGGGATACGCCCAATAGGTTGTTTTCCTTTATTGCTTGGGGATTCTGGGAGCTGTAGTCCCAAATGAAAGTTTTCCCAAGCATGCCAAACTTAGGTACACCTTAGTAAGGTAAGGGTTTTCCCCTGACATTAAGTCCAGTCGTGTCCGACTCTGGGGGTTAGTGCTCATCTCCATTTCCAAGCTGAGGAGCTGGCGTTGTCCGCAGACACCTCCAAGGTCTTGTGGCCAGCATGACTGCATGGAGTGCCGTTAGCTCCCGCTGGAGCGTTACCTATTGATCTACTCACATTTGCATGTTTTCAAACTGCTAGGTTGGCAGAAGCTGGGGCTAACAGCGGGAGCTGACCCTGCTCCTCAGATTCGAACTTGTGACTTTTCTGTCAACAAGTTCAGTGCTCAGTGCTTTAACCCAGTGCACCACTGAGGGTACACCTTATGTATGTAGTACTCCATTGCACTTTGGTGATAGCATTTGCACATTTGGAAAACGCTCCCATTTTTGGAGACTATAGTTCCCAGAATCCCCCAGCTTGTGGATTGTGGGAGCTGTAGTCCCCCAAAGGCTAGTTTCCCCAGCTAACTAAGTAACCTGCCTCCAGTCTATCTTTCAGCTCCCAGATTTCTCAATCTTCCCCTTTTACTGACTTAATTTCCATTTATTATTATCTCCTAATCGTTGTTGTTGTTATTGGATGTTATTATTGTTGTTATTGGATGGATAACTATCTGTTGGAAGGGCTTAAATAGTGTCTTCCTGCCTGGCAGAAGGGGGTTGGACTGGATGGCCCCTGGGGATCTCTTCCAACCTTTAAGATTCTATTATTATTATTATTATTATTATTATTATTATTAGTAGTAGTAGTAGTAGTAGCAGTAGTAGTAATAGTATTAGCGGCTGGATGGCCATCTTTCAGGAGGGCTTAGATAATGTCTTCTCGCCTGGATGGCCCCTGGGGATCTGTACCAACCCTTAAGATTCTATTATTATTATTATTATTATTATTATTATTATTATTATTATTAGTAGTATTAGAGGCTGGATGGCCATCTGTCAGGAGGGCTTAGATAGTGTCTTCTCATCTGGATGGCCCCTGGGGATCTCTTCCAACCCTTAAGATTCTATTATTATTATTATTATTATTATTATTAGTAGTAGTAGTAGTAGTATTAGAGGCTGGATGGCCATCTGTCAGGAGGGCTTAGATAGTGTCTTCTCACCTGGATGGCCCCTGGGGATCTCTTCCAACCCTTAAGATTCTATTATTATTATTATTATTATTATTATTAGTAGTAGTAGTAGTAGTAGTATTAGAGGCTGGATGGCCATCTGTCAGGAGGGCTTAGATAGTGTCTTCTCGCCTGGATGGCCCCTGGGGATCTCTTCCAACCCTTAAGGTTCTATTATTATTATTATTATTATTATTATTAGTAGTAGTAGTAGTAGTAGTAGTATTAGTATTAGAGGCTGGATGGCCATCTGTCAGGAGGGCTTAGATAGTGTCTTCTCACCTGGATGGCCCCTGGGGATCTCTTCCAACCCTTAAGGTTCTATTATTATTATTATTATTATTATTAGTAGTAGTAGTAGTAGTATTAGTATTAGAGGCTGGATGGCCATCTGTCAGGAGGGCTTAGATAGTGTCTTCTCGCCTGGATGGCCCCTGGATTCCCTCCTCCTCCTCCTCCCCCCGTTGTTGTTGTTGTCTAGGATTCTATTATTATGTTGTTGTCACATAGGATTCTGTTGTTATTATTATTATTATTATTTTTAAAGGCTAGATGCCCATCTGTTGGGAAGGCTTGTCCATTGGGAAGCGAGAAATGCACTCTGCACGTGCTTCAGGATCCCTCGCTTCTTGCATACCTCTGTACTCTGGCATGACGTAGAGGTCTTCTCCAAAGAGAACAGGGCCGTCCCAGGTGCAGTACGACAAGTAGTGGAACTGGTACCCGATAATTGTGTGGCCTGCAAAGAAAGAAAAAGGAGGTTGCAAACCAAAGTCTCCATTGGACTTTGGTTTGCAAAGATTCATGTCCCTCCAGTTTGAATTTTGCACCGGTGACGTCGTTATTGTATGCCTTTCAATCATTTCCTGATTTATAGTGAAGTTTTATTATCCAGATTTGTTCATAGGAGGTTTCGCTTGTCCTTCCTTTGAGGCTGAGAGAGTGTGACTTTGCCCAAGGTCACTGGCTGGGTTTCCATGGCTGAGCAGGAATTTGAACCCCGGGCCCCAGAGCCCAATGCTAACATGACTTCCCTTTCAACTCAGTTTGCAACCATTTCCTTAAGCAGAGATAAAGGGGAAGAGTGGAAAAGAGAAATCTGGGGTGGATCTACACTGTAGAGTGAATGCAGTGTGGGTTAAACCCCTGTGCCGGCAGGACTGAAGACCAACAGGTCGCAGGTTCGAATCCGGGGAGAAGCAGATGAGCTCCCTCTATCAGCTCCAGCTCCTCATGTGGGGACATGAGAGAAGCCTCCCACAAGGATGATAAAACATCAAATCATCCGGGCGTCCCCTGGGCAACGTCCTTGCAGACGGCCAATTCTCTCACACCAGAAGCAACTTGCAGTTTCTCAGGTCGCTCCTGAAAAATTATTATCTATATAAATAAAAATGTAATGTTCGTTTGTGGAATTAACAGAAATCAAAAACCCCTGGATGAATTGGCACCAAATTTGGACACAAGACACCTAACAACCCAACCCTTCACTCAAAAAAATTGATTTTGTCATTTGGGAGTTGTAGTTGCTGGGATTTATAGTTCACCTACAATCAAAGAGCATTCTGAACCCCACCAACGATGGAATTGAACCAAACTTGGCACACAGTTCTCCCATGACCAACAAAATACTGAAAGGGTTTGGTGGGCAGTGTCCTTTGGGTTTGGAGTTGTAGTTCACCTACATCCAGAGATCACTGTGGACTCAAACCATGATGGATCTGGACCAAACTTGGCACAAATACTCAATATGCCCAAATGTGAACACTGGTGGAGTTTGGGGAAAATAGATCTTGACATTTGGGAGTTGTAGTTGCTGGGATTTATAGTTCACCTACAATCAAAGAGCATTCTGAACCCCACCAACGATGGAATTGAACCAAACTTGGCACACAGCTCTCCCATGACCAACACAAAATACTGAAAGGGTTTGGTGGGCAGTGTCCTTTGGGTTTGGAGTTGTAGTTCACCTACATCCAGAGATCACTGTGGACTCAAACAATGATGGATCTGGACCAAACTTGGCACAAATACTCAATATGCCCAAATGTGAACACTGGTGGAGTTCGGGGGAAATAGAATCTTGACATTTGGGAGTTGTAGTTGCTGGGATTTATAGTTCACCTACAATCACAGAGCACTCTGAACCCCACCAACGATAGAATTGGGCCAAACCTCCCACACAGAACCCCTTTGACCACCAGAGTGGGCCACAGCAACGTGTGGCAGGGGATGGCTAGTAGAATCATAGAATCCTAGAGTTGGAAGAGACCTCATGGGCCATCCAGTCCAACCCCATTCTCCTAAGAAGCAGGAAAACCGCATTTAAAGCACCCCCGACAGATGGCCATCCAGCCTCTGTTTAAAAGCCTTCAAAGAAGGAGCTTCCACCACACTCTGGGGCAGAGAGTTCCACTGGTGAACAGCTCCCAGATTCAGGAAGTTCTTCCTAATGTTCAAGTGGAATCTCCTTTCTTGTAGTTTGGAGCCAAAGAAGGAGGCTCCACCACACTCTGGGGCAGAGAGTTCCACTGATGAACAGCTCCCAGATTCAGGAAGTTCTTCCTAATGTTCAAGTGGAATCTTCTTTCTTGTAGTTTGAAGCCAAAGAAGGAGGCTCCACCACACTCTGGGGCAGAGAGTTCCACTGATGAACAGCTCCCAGAGTCAGGAAGTTCTTCCTCATGTTCAGGTGGAATCTCCTTTCTTGTAGTTTGAAGCCAAAGAAGGAGGATCCCCACACTCTGGGGCAGAGAGTTCCACTGGTGAACAGCTCCCACAGTCAGGAAGTTCTTCCTAATGTTTAGGATCTCCTTTCTTGTAGTTTGAAGCCATTGTTCCGCGTCCTAGTCTCCAGGGAAGCAGAAAACAAGCTCCCTCCCTCCTCTCTATGACTTCCTCTCACATGTTTATACATGGCTATCATGTCTCCTCTCCTACCGGATGTTAGGAATTGTGGCAGTTGAAGTCCAAAACACCTGGAGGGCTCAAGTTTGCCCATACCTGGTATAAGGTATATTATGAGAGCCAGTAAGGATTTAAGTGACTGATTTGGATTGCAAAACCAGGTTTTGAATGTCTGCTTGGCTATGGAAGCTCACTGAGAAACTTTGGGACAAGTCACACTCTCTCAGCCTCAGAGTTATCCCAAATATATTCATCCAGAATGGTTTCCCTGCCCTGATCGTACCTCCTTTGGTCTTTTCTCCCGGGGGCAGCTCAGCAACCAGGCATCCGAACGTGGGCTCTTTCCCAAAGCCATCTTCTTGGAAATCTACCAATAAAGAATGCAATGTTAAGCACTATACATAAAACATCTGCATTTACAAACTTTCGTATGTTTCTGGAGTTAACAAAATATGAATGGCCTCTCTTGAAAGCCACACGGCATCAAAATATATGCGTTCAACATCAAAATACACATTTTTCTACAATTCACAGGATCCCATAGTTTTGAGCATTTGTGGGGTGAAGCTGCATTAATTCTAAAGTGTAGATGCACTCGTTATGTGCTGGGGAATTTGGCTTTGAGTTTCGTTTCTTGCAAGTTAGTTAGAAGCCATAGCAAAACTCCAAATAACTAGAAAAAATTTATTGTCGAAGGCTTTCATGGCCGGAAAGGAGGAAACCATGAAAATGAACAAAATCTGGCTACCAGTATTAAAAAACTCTAAAATTGCAACAGCACAACAGAGAGGAAACAAACAAGGACATCTAATCACCTCTCAACAAAAGTTTGCTCCAGGCACAGTCAGGCCATTGTATGCTAATCAAGGTGGTCAGTTGAAACATTCGCACCTAGCTCCAGCAGACAAGAGTCCTTTGTCCCACCCTGGTCATTCCACAGATATATAAGCCCTTTTTCCTAGTTCCAACAGACCTCACTACCTCTGAGGATGCTTGCCATAGATGCAGGCGAAATGTCAGGAGAGAATGCCTCTAGACCATGGCCATACAGCCTGAAAAAACCTACAACAACCCAACTAGAAAAAAATAAATATAAGCCATTCCTTACTTTTTGGGGTGGTCGTCACTTGGTCCAAAGCTTTGTGGAAAGCCGCAGATTCCTGGAAAGAGAGGAAGCTGTTATAGAAATGGCAATGAGAAAGGGGTCTCCAAAGGTCATCTAGTCTGACTCTCTCCAAATGCGTAAAGCCCAGAACCCCAGAGAATTCCTCAATTGATCCCTGTTGAGAATTGGAAGGTGGGGGAGGAGAGAGAGAGAGAGAGATACACCTGGACTACAAAGCCCATCATCCAGTATGGCACCCCAAGGGGAGTATGGGTTTTGTAGTTGAGGCAAATGTCCAAATTGTGATTCTGATGCCAAAACAGAGCTTCAAACCCCTGAAATTTCTCACCCGAATAAGCCTCATGACCTCCTTAAGATCCCTTACAGCCCAAGGGCGGATGATGCAGTTCATCATGGCTCTGATCTTGTCTCCTTCCAACTTGGACTCTGATCTTGTTAAAGAAAGCTGACTCCAGTTAAAAACCAAGCGTTCCCCTTCAATGGGCACCCCCTCCTTGCACCTATTAATTTTGGTCAGTTATTAATTTTGGGGATACGCTTGGAAACCCAACAAGGAAGATGGCTCCATAGCAAGGTTCAAAGGGTGCTGTTGCACTTAGTTTTTGCCCCAGAAGCTGGCATATAAATGAGTTACAGGGTTGATTACTGATGTAAATGGACTTTCCTTGGTTTGTTAACTCTCATGGCTCTTGGAAAATCTGTTAAGCTGGAACCCATCTGTATTGCCATGTAATGCAGTGTGAAACTGCATTGTATGGTGAGTGCAGACTCATATTAGGCCATTCAATGCAGATTCATAATGCCATTTAATGCAGGTCCCCATCTACACCACTATATAGCAATTTCATAATATAGTTAACTGCATTACATGGCAGATATATATACTAGCCACCCCCTGCCATGCATTGCTGTGTCCCAGTCTGTATATATGTGTTTTGTGTGTGTGTATATATTTGAGGAGCCTTCTAATCAAGGTGAAAGAAGAAAGCGCAAAAGCTGGGTTGCAGCTCATCAAAAAAACCAAGATTATGGCAACAAGAATGATTGACAACTGGAAAATAGAGGGAGAAATCGTGGAGGCCGTGACAGACTTTGTATTTCTAGGCGCAAAGATGACTGCAGATGCAGACTGTGGCCAGGAAATCAGAAGACGCTTCCTTCTTGGGAGGAGAACAATGTCCAATCTCGATAAAATAGTAAAGAGTAGAGACATCACACTGGCAACAAAGATCCATTGCCTAGTCAAAGCCATGGTATTCCCTGTAGTAACCTACGGATGTGAGAGCTGGACCTTAGGGAAGGCTGAGCGAAGGAAGATCGATGCTTTTGAGCTGTGGTGTTGGAGGAAAGTTCTGAGAGTGCCTTGGACTGCGAGAAGATCCAACCAGTCCATCCTCCAGGAAAGAAAGCCCGACTGCTCACTGGAGGGAAGGAGACTAGAGACAAAGTTGAAGTACTTTGGCCACATCATGAGGAGACAGCAAAGCCTAGAGAAGACTATTATGCTGGGGAAAGGAAGAGGGGCCGACCAAGGGCAAGATGGATGGATGGCATCCGTGAAGTGACTGGACTGACCTTGAAGGAGCTGGGGGTGGTGACGGCCGACAGGGAGCTCTGGCGTGGGCTGGTCCATGAGGTCACGAAGAGTCGGAGACGACTGAACGAATGAACAACAATATTTGTGTTTATAGAAGATGTGTATATAGATAGATAGAAGAGATAGATATAGATAGAAAGGTAAAGGTTTTCCCCTGACATTGTGTCTGACTCTGAGGTGTGGTGCTCATCTCCATTTCTAAGCTGAAGCCGGCGTTGTCTGTAGACACCTCCAAGGTCATGTGGCTGGCATGACTGCATGGAGTGCTGTTACCTTCCCGCCGAAGAGGTACCTATTGATCTACCCGCATTTCCATGTTTTCGAACTGCTAGTTTGGCAGAAGCTGGGGCTGACAGCAGGAGCTCACCCCACTCCCTGGATTCGAATCTGCAACCTTTCGGTCAGCAGCTCAGTGCTTTAACCCACTGCAGAGATAATAGATATGGCAGCATGGATGGAGCCTTAGTGTTTAGAGCTCAGGGCTAATCTACACTGCAGATTTAATGCAGTTTGATCCCACTTTAGCTGCCATGGTGCAATGCTATTTAGTCCTGAGCACTGTAATTTGGTTCTCTTTAGTGTAGAACCTAAAATTCCATAGCATTGAGCCATGGCAGTTCAAGTAGTGCCAAACTGCATTACTCCCAGATGCATCCACGTGGGTGTGTTTTCTAGTTCCTGTTGCCCTTTAAGGAGTGAGGTCTCGCGAGAGCTACGCCCTTTCGCCTGGCTCCCGCGAGATCGGGGTGAGCCAGCCGGGAGGAAAAGTGGGCGGAGCCACGGGTGTCATGGCGGCCTCCACAGTCCCCACGTGAGTTTGTGTTTTGATCTTGACAAGCAGAGAGATTGTGAGTTTTGGGGACACTTTTCCCTCTTCTCTACATCCTCTGGAGCAGATAAAAGGAACTGCTCCAGGGAATCCACATGTAGAAAGGTATTAATTATAGTATCTTCATTATTGTTGGCCATTATTAACTGCTATCATTGATATTCTAATTGAGGCCCTCATTGCTATTGAGCAGAACACAGGGAGGGATTCATCTTAGTTTGCTTTAGCATAAAAGAGGAAAAGGAGGAGTCTTGTGTCACCCTTAAGTCTAACCAATGTGTATATATCTTATGGTTTTAATGTGTTTTAATCTTATGCTTGTATTTTAATGTATGCATAAAAAGGATGTTATGTTTTCACTATTGTACCCCACCCTTGAACTGACCACGGAA